GCGCATTCCTAGCCAGCAAGTCCTTCAAGATCTGTAGAGCCTTCCGTGGAGAGGGCTCCTCTCCAGCGGGCTGACACAGGAAGGCACGATCCATCCTTACTTGCACACTTGCGGTCAAGTCAGATTAGGTTCTGGGCGGTAGGCACAAGTGGTCCCAGGTAAGAAGTTGCAAGGGCCGTGCCCAAGAAAAAACAACTGTCAGTTTAAATGGGACCTATCGCCAAAGCTTCAAATCATTTGAGAAACTCATAGATTGTATGAACATGCTTGAACAGATGCTGCTTCGCACAAACACCCAAAATCCTTGAGCCCCAAGACACTGACCTTCAGGCACTTGGAAATTCACAACTCCCCACCCTGAACAGCCCGCAGCCCCTCCAGGATCAGCTTGTTGGGGTGGGAGTGCAAAGCTTTGCCTGCATTGCTTTGCCATGGGTACAAGATCCCTCTGTTGCACAGCAGATTTTCATAGAAGCCTGCTTATCAGAAAGCCCTGGAACCCCTGAAGTCAAAGCCATGGCGCAATGTTCCGCTGAGCAAAAGCAACCCCAGCCCGATGCCGGCCAGCGAGCACAGCACATTTCCTGCAAGGCGCACGTTCTGGGGCCTAGATGAGAAATTCTAAAAATAGCGGGCTCAGGAATACAAAAGGCCTGCTAGTGAAATCAGGAATACCTGGGGATTGCAGAATTTTTTGGGGGCCCCGCCTAGAGATTCTACAGGGATGACTTTGAAAAGTTGCACATGGTTTTGGCCTCGTAAAAGGTTTATACTGGCAAGTATAGAAGGACAACCGGGATGATACTGACCTGAGGGTCTATGTCGGGTCAAAAATAGCCTCTGTTCGGAGGTCCCTAAATGAAGGTCTCCAACATTTCAGGCACTGCACTTACCTCTGAGGAATGAAGGCATGGATCCTCATGGTAGTCCCTTTGTAAACCCTACATATTGACCTATCTTTTCTTTTCACCGTCATTCCCTCTCAACCAGAAGTAAGCATGCTGGGTCTCATGTTTTGCTACATCTCGGTGTGGGGCCCTGAAGCACAGGGGCCTGAGGATGCCAAATTCAATGTTACTTGCTGGGTTTCGGGCTTTGGCACAAGACAAGAAGCCCTCCTGAACAAAGCGCGCTACTGCGATTGGAGCCATGCATTTCAAAGAGTCCATGCGATGCATCTGAGACGAGGTGTATGTTCTATAGTATGCCGCACGCTCTACATGACCTTCAACGTAAGCCCCACATCAGAGTTTCTGAGAGTTCTGCTCCAGAATATGAGGAGCTTCAACGCAGGACCTAAACTCTGATACTGCCTTCGCCCCTTTAAAAATCTGATCAACAACCAAAAGCATTCATAAGTTTGGGAAGCCCCCTTCGGCCTGAAGCCCTATACCAAACGCTCAGACCCCTAATATTAAACCTCGCACCCCACCTAATTTTTTTTCACTTTCCACGCAGCAA